TAGTTTTTTGTTTGTGGTATATTCATTTCCCCACACCCTACCTCTAAAGGCAAGATACATCATTGGTACTGTGTCATGGTTCAATTGCTGGATATTTTTTTCTTATTAGAACCAAATATAATGATGAAATTTTTGTTGATGACATCTACTCTAAGAAGGGTAGTAATATTTTACCAAGACAGAGACTATATTGGGGAGCAAGAGATTTTCTTGTGGAGTAAAGAAAAAGAAAGGACACAATTGGTTTGATTTCTACATCTTAAATTTGAGAAGGACATTGAAACAGTTGAAACTTTAGGACGAGAATTCAAGAGTGTGAAGGGGCATGTGATTAAATTTATGTAGGAAAATTCTTTGAGTTCATAAGGACTTTGATCATCTGCACCCATTTCCCAAAACTGATTTCAAGAAACAGTTCCTAACTACACATGGAAATTATTTCATTGGTTGCCAAGATCTCAAAAACCCTGCCAGAGGTCACGATAAGTTTATAAGATGATACTGTATTAATCCAAGGTTTTTCAATTAAATTAGCAATAAAAATATAAGATGTGATTTAAAAAATTAGTTTGTAGCCAGTAAATGATGATGGAATGTTGCCATGCCTCTGGTGATTTTGTGTGAAACTTCTGATAGAAATATCTGGTTTTAATTTATTTTTTTGGATGCTTTATTAAAGACCCATGTGCAAGGAGAAAAATCAAAAGCAGACAACTTTAGATTCACTGTAAATTTCACATGCCATCAGAAATACTAAACTAAATGTTTCTTTTGGCCACCATGCATGAAATGCAAGCAAGAAATAAAGTCAATTCATATCCTTATGCTCCTATTTTAAACAATAAAATGCAATTTGCATTGAGACATTCTATTGCACCTACTAACCTAATCTATAGTTTGGATGATATTGCATTAAAAAAAACCCAACTAGCAAACTACTTCTGCTCCACTATCCAGCTTATATCCAGTACCTGAAATACAAGAAATAAGAAAATGAAAGTTGTTATTATTAGTTTTTTTAATGAAAGCTGGATAAAAAGTAGATTTATGCTTTCAGATCTCTTGCCAGCCTCATGGAGTCCTTATCTGTGATATCCACCAAGGTCTCCAGAAAACGACACTTGATCAAGGATGGTAATTTAGAAACAAGTAAGATCTATAGATTAGAGAGAATAATCACAGTAGACATCATTTATACACACTTTTATATTGTTAAAGTTATAGTTAGTTTTCTTTTTTTATGCAGGACACTACTAGGTAGTCCTGGTTGACCTGGAACTTGCTATGGAGACCAGGCTGGCATAGAATTTGCAGAGACCTATCAGCCTCTGCCTTAAAGTGCTGGGATTAAAAGCATGGACTAACACTTAGCTTTCTATACATCTTTTGCCACATAGTATGCATCAAGTACTAGGCTAAATGAACCACCATGCTGATAACTGTACCACTCAGGAGGCTGAGGTAGGAGGGTGGTGAAACCAGCCTGGGCTGCACACCAAGATCCTGTCAGAAGAGGAAGAATAATGGACTAGGGTACATGCTGGGAAAATGATCAGCTGAAACAGGTATGATCCTTTCATCAGATAACTGGCTTTCAATTCTAAAGAAGGAAACAACTACATTGAATTAAAAGTTAAGCAAAGGAGACACTAGGAAGGAGACAGATACGGGGGAGTCCACACAAAAGAACAGATGCACTCACATAAATCAGAGGTTTGTTTGTAGAACAACATTGGAAAAGTTGTTTCTGGTCATAGCATGTCTCATACATGGTAGTACAATAATTAAACTGTGTGTTTTCTGACATCACAGAATAATGTGGAAACATTTTGTTCAGGGTTGGCTCAAGTCTGGATCAATGACGTCAATGAAAGCACAGGCTCTTTCATTTTCTCTGCTCCTCCATGTAGTCTTGCTGGCTATCGTTAAGTCGATCCCTTCCTGCTCAGAGGATGCTACAATTCTGGGAATTATGTCCTTATTGCATTACCAGCAAAAGAAGGGTAAGGAACGTTCCTATTCCTTGTTGTTGTTTTTCTTCTTCTTCTTCCTCCTCCGCATCCCCTCCCTTTAGATGCTTTGCCCTGAATGTAGTCGTGTGCTAGCTGCAAGACCTCTTCAGAGAAAGCAAGTATGCTGCAGTATTGGTCTCTATCTTAGGAGTTAGGTTCCACCAACAAGGAAGAAGGAGGTGGGAAAAGTCCGAGATATAGTTTCTACTTTATGCAATGGTATTAAAACTATATCTCGGACTAATGCCAATTCCCTCATTTCCTCTCATATCACAGGGAATTGGCAAGGAAGAGCACTCCAGTGAGCAACGGCCTGTGGAAGACCTGTGGAACACTAGGTGATAAGACAGAAAAACTGCCAGCGAGTATAGTGGAAGTAGGCTGGAGAGGAAGGCAAGAAATAGCCTGCTCTGAGCAGATCAGGTATTTTGTCTTTGCCCCAAGATCAATACTAACCCATTGGAAAGATTCATAAATTAATGTTATATAAATTGGAAGACAGAATTTGATAACTCAGTATGGACCATGGTAGACATTTAGGTCAAAGTGGAATAAAATTATATAGCTCAATAATCATTGCAAGTAAGAAAAAAAACTTTAGTTGATCAGTATTTATTACAGAATTAAAAAAAAAACATTCCCAGATGTAAGGAGAAGCTCCTAGAAAATTGATTTTAGGAGCTGGAGTGATGGCTCAGTGATTGAGAGTACTGACTGCTCTTTCAGAGGGCTTGGGTTCAATTCCCAGCACCCACATGGTCTGTAACCCAACTCCAAGTGATTTGACCCCCTCACATACATGTAGGCAAAACACCAATACACATAAAGTAAAATTAAATCATAAAAAGAATAATTGGTCTGATTTCTCAAAGTTTTTATTTATTTATTTTTTGCTCTTGTTTCACAAGTCATATCAGAATTTTCATAAAGGGATAAAACTTACAAAATGAAAAACAGAAGAAAAGCAAATCTGGAAATACATAAATTCCTGGAGTGGTATTGAAATTGTAGATATGGAGGTTAGAAAGAGCCTTACGGTGAAGGTGACGTATGAGCAAAATTGTTGAGTGGACTTGAAAGAGAGTGGGAGCAAGGGAGAGAGGAGATAAATGGAGGAAGAATATTCTAGATGCTAGAAAATCATTCTGGCATAGAGAATGTTCAAGTTAAAGACTGTCAGAGGCGTGGCTGATACATTCCGGAAATATCAGAGGCTACTGAGTTTAGAGAGTAGCAATTGAGGGAGACGGAGTAAGGAGTGAAGTCAAGAGTCTTTTCCCTCCAGTGCTGGGACTGAACCCAGGCTCTTCTCCATGATAAATGATGTACCACTGAACTACATCTTGACCCCTACATAGGGCTTTAAATGTCAGGAGTCCTCTGGTTTTTCTGCTGAGGGGCTGAGTTAGAAAGCCCTTGGGGTATTTAGTAGAAAAGGAGGGACTTGTTTGACTTCTGACCCAATAGCTTTGGCTATTGTGTGGAAGCAGATTGGGGGATCAATGAATGCAAACATCCCTGCGAAAGGGGACAAGGGGACAGTGGTTGGCATCAGAGTACTACTAGGAAAGGCAGGAAGGTAGTCAAATTCTGGATATATTTGAAAGACTGAGGCAAAGAGAGAAATTAAGAACCACCCTAAGAGACCTGGCTAGAGAGCATAGTGGTAAAAGTACTTGCCACCAAGCCTGTGACATGAATTGGAATCCTACAAGCTGGGTCCTCTGACCTCCACAAGTATTTCACGACACATGTTTGCATGCATACACATATCAATAAGTACATTTAAAAAGAATCATCCCAAGTAGTATGAATAGCTGAGTCAAGGTTATATCATTATAAAAACATTTTTCAGGCAATCTGCTAAGCTCTTACAAAATTAATGTCCCTCATCAGTGTTGGGGTATCATTTGAGAAATGATGTTGACAACATTCAGTGGAGGAAAAGCTGTACTCACACTTGGGAGACTGAAGATTGTAAGTTGATGTTTAATCTGGACAACACAATGAGAGGTCCTGTCTCTTACAAGAAACAAAGAGATGAGGAATGCAGTTCACTGACAAACTGCACACTTGCCCTTGGCTGGACCATCAGTCTTGGAAGAAAAAAAAAAAAGGTTTGTTGAAGTACTGAGGAGCCAGATAAGGTTAGCTAGGACTCATGGCAGTTAAACCTGGCTATTGTCTGTAATATTAGCTTATTGTTCCTTTCGACAGTGATTGGAATGGGATGGACGACAAATGGAAGGGATGATGGAAATAAGGAGAGTAATCAGGATAGCTTTGCCTCTTTTCTTCGCTTGCATCAGAGCTTCAGTGACAACCCTCCATAGAGACCCTCTTCCTTTAGCCTCAAACCAAAGATTTACCAGAAACCAAAGGCTTTCAGGAGTGCACCACCGGCCCTGGGCTACCTACATGCTAGGCAAGCTCTCTACCAACTGAGCTCCGTCCCCAGGCCCCACCAGATTTCATGTAAATCCATATGTTCTTCCTCTTCTTCTTTCATCTTTGGCGAGGCCAGATTTTAGTGTGGAAAATATGATTATTATAACTACAGACCATCAAACCGAGTGCAGCCTGTTCTGAAAGCGCGCACACAGAATCTGGCAACACTTTGGGAAAGTACTACTTTAGTTTCTCAAAGACTCAAGGAGCCCTCCGGCTCTTCCAGTGGGCTCAGACTCAGATATTCTGAGTTCTTTGAAAAATTATGAGTTACAGGTGTTTACATTTTTGAAGCATTTTCATTCGGGCTTCTCAGCCTCCGTCTAAATAACGGACCCTACTAACAAGGATTACTTTTTATCGAGGCAACATTTACACTCACTGAACCTTTTTATTTATTTATTTTTCTTTCATCCATTTTCCCCTTTCATTCTTCCAACGAGACCTTTTAACGCTTTTGTAAACCCTAACATCAAAAGGAAAACAAACACTACATGACTCTGTTTCACTGCAGCCACAGGGCCTTGAGAACGAAGGAAGTGAGTCCCTAGCGGGGATCCGTCCTCCCGTCCTGGCGTTTGCCCGCAGGAAGATGGCGGCGGTCTCAATGTCAGTGGCGGCGCTGAGACAGGCGTTGTTGGGGACAAGGGCAGTGGCTGCAGCGGCCGTTTCCGTCTCTAGAGTTCCATCCAGGTAACATAATCATCAGCCTTGTCGGGCTCTTTATTCAGGATTCTTAGGTCGCGGCACTTTGGCGGAGACCGGGCCGACCGGGCCTCGGAGAGCGCGTCCCCGGCTGACCCTGCCTCGGGATGCGGGGACGAACTCGGGGCTCCGGCCTGGCGCCCGCGGGGTCTCGGGCTCTCGGGAGCTCTGGGTCTGCAGCCGCGGGAGAGGGTCAAGGAGCTGTGAACAGGCTCTTGGTTCCCGAGAAGGGGAGGAGTCTGGCCGACTTCTCTCCCAATGCCCTACGTCCTTTCCGTTGTCACCTGTGTGCCCCCTGCAGCCCTGGCTGGAAGACTAAACGCCCTGCTTTCCTTTCCCCGGCTTTAGCTAATGCCCATTGAGCTTCCAGACAGAAAGGTTGTTCGAGTCATCGTTCTGCATGCGAGGAAAACTTCTTAGGACTTCAGGGCTAATAATAGTATTTGTTGGAAGGTGGTAGCATACCTATTTTCTGTCGGTGGGAGGATTGGACCCCCGCCCCGTCCCGGCCCCGGGCTGTGCGCTTCTCAGCCAGCAAGGTGGTTTTTATTTTTATTTATTTATTTTGTTTGTTTGAGACAGGATCACACTGTGTAGCCCTTGCTGGCCTGGAGCTCACATCCGCCTGCCAGCAAGATGTTTTTTTAAAAAAGGTGATGGTAGTTGCTGTCAGTTTCCTCATCTACATTTTCACTAACCGTTACAGTAGTTGAGGGATTGTTATTTTGTTACCTTGTATCATTTTTTTTTTTGTGATGACACCCCACCCCGGCTCCCAAAGCATTACCTGATTTTACAATATTTTTCTGTCTTCCTGAGTTTATTAATAGCACTTGTATACACATAATAAGGTTTTAATCTACGAGATACCATGTTTGTCACTTCCTTCACAGTGTGCTCCTGTAAAGCATGGCCTTGTGTTGTCTGTCAGCTGCATGCTGTGGAGACTACACTACATGTTCACACTGAAGATGGAAGACCATGTCTCGGGTGGGAAGAATGTAGTTTTAAAAAAAGGAAAAGTTGCAGGGTGGTGGTGGCGAACGCCTTCCTTTAGTGCCGACACTGGGAAGGCAGAGGCAGTTGGATCTCTATGAGTTCCAGGCCAGCCTGATCTACAAAGACAATTCCAGGATGGCCAGGGCTACATAGAGACCCTGTCTCACACAAAACCAAACCATTAAATTATTTTTTAAAAACGGAAACAGGGCCTATCAAAATGTGTGTTAATTTAGTGTTAAACTAAACACAAAGGGAATACAGAGTTAAAATGAGCTGAGTAGAACTTTTGAAGGTACATGTTATTACAGTTTTAAGAAGTGATTTTGAGGGAAAGAAGAGGTTGCCAGTAGTAAGGTCAGGGGATTTGCGGTTTTGGGGACTGAGGATGTAGCTGAGTTGGTAGAGGGCCTAGCATTCATGAGGTACTGGGTTCAGTCTTTAGCACCAAATAAAACCATTCTTGGGCATATGAACTGTAATCCTATTGCTCCAGAGTTGCAAAAACGGGTGCAGGGAGGCTGTTTTGTGGGCAGTAGCAGAACAGTACATATGTAATATATAGTCACTGGAAAATAAGAGTAATATTGGTGGAAAGTAAAAGATAAATTTGTACTTAAGTGTTTTACATATGAGGAGCTTAAGAAATACCAACTTGTTCTCTAAGATCAAAGGCTCCAGTGGTTAAAGCTAACACGCTGGTGATCTACTTTAGTTCTTTTCCACTTAAATGTTATAGGGTTAATTTACATACCCAAATTCTAATGCACTCAAAATAGGACTAGAACTGAAAACAAATATAAGGGACCATTAGTGTGTTTCTCAGCAATTATGCTAGTTTAAATTAAGACAATACTGGACTTTACAAACTGATAGCTATTACTACACATCTAAATTTAACAGTTCTGCTTTGTAAATATGTTGTTAGAGATTTGAAAATAGCTTATATAAGTCATATAAGATGACCTTTGTTTCATAGTCTAAAAAATTTAAAACCCAGGGAAAATTATTTTGACTTCACACTATTTTATTTATTTATTTAAAGATATTATGACATGCGTCTGACTTGACAATTGCAGTTCCCCTTCTTTGTTTATATGGAAACTTCTTACAATATGTGTTGAGAATAATGCTTTGAAAAGATTGAGAAGAAAGTTCCAACCATCTGGAACATTTAATGTAAATTTCTTTTTTGGCAGTCCTTAAAGAAATTACAGTGGCATAATAGTGCTAGTGTGTTGAATGAAGTGAGGGAGAGTGGAACCAGTAAGGAAAGTGGTGAGAGAGGAGTGGGGTACCTACTACATTAACATTTGGATTATCAGTAAGGAAAGTGGTGAGAGAGGAGTAGGGTACCTACTACATTAACATTTGGATTATCAGTAAGGAAAGTGGTGAGAGAGGAGTAGGGTACCTACTACATTAACATTTGGATTATCAGTAAGGAAAGTGGTGAGAGAGGAGTGGGGTACCTACTACATTAACATTTGGATTATCAGTAAGGAAAGTGGTGAGAGAGGAGTAGGGGTACCTACTACATTAACATTTGGATTATCAGTAAGGAAAGTGGTGAGAGAGGAGTGGGGTTACCTACTACATTAACATTTGGATTATCAGTAAGGAAAGTGGTGAGAGAGGAGTGGGGTTACCTACTCCATTAACATTTGGATTATCAGTAAGGACAGTGGTGAGAGAGGAGTGGGGTTACCTACTCCATTAACATTTGGATTATCAGTAAGGACAGTGGTGAGAGAGGAGTAGGGTACCTACTACATTAACATTTGGATTATCAGTAAGGAAAGTGGTGGGAGAGGAGTGGGGTTACCTACTACATTAACATTTGGATTATCAGTAAGGAAAGTGGTGAGAGAGGAGTGGGGTACCTACTCCATTAACATTTGGATTATCAGTAAGGAAAGTGGTGAGAGAGGGGTGGGGTTACCTACTCCATTAACATTTGGATTATCAGTAAGGACAGTGGTGAGAGAGGAGTGGGTTACCTACTACATTAACATTTGGATTATCAGTAAGGAAAGTGGTGAGAGAGGAGTGGGTTACCTACTCCATTAACATTTGGGTTATCAGTAAGGAAAGTGGTGGGAGAGGAGTGGGTACCTACTCCATTAACATTTGGATTATCAGTAAGGAAAGTGGTGAGAGAGGAGTGGGTTACCTACTACATTAACATTTGGATTATCAGTAAGGAAAGTGGTGAGAGAGGAGTGGGTTACCTACTCCATTAACATTTGGATTATCAGTAAGGACAGTGGTGAGAGAGGAGTGGGTTACCTACTCCATTAACATTTGGATTATCAGTAAGGACAGTGGTGGGAGAGGAGTGGGTTACCTACTCCATTAACATTTGGATTATCAGTAAGGAAAGTGGTGAGAGAGGAGTGGGTTACCTACTCCATTAACATTTGGATTATCAGTAAGGACAGTGGTGAGAGAGGAGTGGGTTACCTACTCCATTAACATTTGGATTATCAGTAAGGATAGTGGTGAGAGAGGAGTGGGGTTACCTACTCCATTAACATTTGGATTATCAGTAAGGACAGTGGTGAGAGAGGAGTGGGTTACCTACTCCATTAACATTTGGATTATCAGTAAGGACAGTGGTGAGAGAGGAGTGGGGTACCTACTCCATTAACATTTGGATTATCAGTAAGGAAAGTGGTGAGAGAGGAGTGGGGTACCTACTACATTAACATTTGGATTATCAGTAAGGAAAGTGGTGAGAGAGGAGTGGGGGTACCTACTCCATTAACATTTGGATTATCAGTAAGGAAAGTGGTGAGAGAGGAGTGGGGTACCTACTCCATTAACATTTGGATTATCAGTAAGGACAGTGGTGAGAGAGGAGTGGGGTACCTACTCCATTAACATTTGGATTATCAGTAAGGACAGTGGTGAGAGAGGAGTGGGTTACCTACTCCATTAACATTTGGATTATCAGTAAGGAAAGTGGTGAGAGAGGAGTGGGTTACCTACTCCATTAACATTTGGGTTATCAGTAAGGAAAGTGGTGAGAGAGGAGTGGGTTACCTACTCCATTAACATTTGGATTATCAGTAAGGAAAGTGGTGAGAGAGGAGTGGGGTACCTACTCCATTAACATTTGGATTATCAGTAAGGAAAGTGGTGAGAGAGGAGTGGGTTACCTACTCCATTAACATTTGGATTATCAGTAAGGACAGTGGTGAGAGAAGAGTGGGTTACCTACTCCATTAACATTTGGATTATCAGTAAGGAAAGTGGTGAGAGAGGAATGGGTTACCTACTCCATTAACATTTGGATTATCAGTAAGGAAAGTGGTGAGAGAGGAGTGGGTTACCTACTACATTAACATTTGGATTATCAGTAAGGAAAGTGGTGAGAGAGGAGTGGGTTACCTACTCCATTAACATTTGGATTATCAGTAAGGAAAGTGGTGAGAGAGGAGTGGGGTACCTACTCCATTAACATTTGGATTATCAGTAAGGACAGTGGTGAGAGAGGAGTGGGGTACCTACTCCATTAACATTTGGATTATCAGTAAGGACAGTGGTGAGAGAGGAGTGGGGTTACCTACTCCATTAACATTTGGATTATCAGTAAGGACAGTGGTGAGAGAGGAGTGGGGGTACCTACTCCATTAACATTTGGATTATCAGTAAGGAAAGTGGTGAGAGAGGAGTGGGTTACCTACTACATTAACATTTGGATTATCAGTAAGGAAAGTGGTGAGAGAGGAGTGGGGTACCTACTCCTTTAACATTTGGAATATCAGTAAGGACAGTGGTGAGAGAGGAGTGGGGTTACCTACTCCATTAACATTTGGATTATCAGTAAGGACAGTGGTGAGAGAGGAGTGGGGTACCTACTCCATTAACATTTGGATTATCAGTAAGGACAGTGGTGAGAGAGGAGTGGGGTTACCTACTACATTAACATTTGGATTATCAGTAAGGAAAGTGGTGAGAGAGGAGTGGGTTACCTACTACATTAA